CACCCTAGGCCTATCGGTTATTCAGAAGAAGTTGTTGAAAGGTTTTAAACATATTTGACCCCTGTGACCTTGAATATAAGTCAAGGTCATTTATTTGAACAAACTTGGTAGCCCTTCATCCCAGCATGCCTCTGGCCAAATATCATCACCCTAGGCCTACCAGTTATTCAGAAGAAGTTGTTGAAAGGTCGGATGGACGACGGACGACGGACGGATGATGGACGGACGACGGACGACGCACCATGCCATAAGCTCACTTGGCCCTTCGGGCCAGGTGAGCTAAAAATTAGGTGATTTCTTCAGAAGCCATTACACATATAGTAATCAGCCAAATTTGGTCTAAATCTTATATGATACCTAATCAAAGACAAAAACACTCAATTGTCTTATTTTCTTTCCTTTAGTACACTGCATTAATTATCTGCCAAATGAACCATTGCTGATCTATCTAAAGCTTGCATATTGTAGAGCATCATTTATGTGTTACATGTACTTACCCTCCATAAGCTTAAGATGATGAGGATGATGAGAATGACAGCACCAAGGATGCTGAGGAAGATGACCCACCATGCAACCTCTTCCTCTATTGGTTTGTTAGGCAGAACAGTTATGGTTGCCTGTAACCAGAAATGTATCCAGGACTAACTAATCATAGTTATCATCAGTGTGTAGCCAATCACAGTGTACTATCATCAGTGTGTAGCCAATCACGGTTAAATAGCATCAGTGTGTAGCCAATCATAGTTAAATATCATCAGTGTGTAGCCATTCACAGTGTACTATCATCAGTGTGTAGCCAATCACAGTATACTATCATCATCAGTGTGTAGCCAATCACGATTAAATATCATCAGTGTGTAGCCACTCTCAGTATACTATCATTATCAGTGTGTAGCCAATCATAGTTAGATGTCATCAGTGTGTAGCCATTAACAGTGTACTATCATCAGTGCGTAGCCAATCACGGTTAAAAATCATCAGTGTGAAGCCAATCACAGTGTACTATCACCAGTGTGTAGCCAATCACGTTTAAATAGCATCAGTGTGTAGCCAATCATAGTTAAGTATCATCAGTGTGTAGCCATTAACAGTGTACTATCATCAGTGTTTAGCCAATCACGGTTAAATATCATCAGGGTGTAGCCAATCAGTGTAGTTAATCATTAGTATGTAGCCAATCACAGTATACTATCATTATCAGTGTGTAGCCAATCGCAGTTAAATAGCATCAGTGTGTAGCCCATCACAGTATACTATCATCAGTATGTAGCCAATCACAGTATTCTATCATTATCAGTGTGTAGCCAATCCCCCTGTACTATCACCAGTGTGTAGCCAATCACGGTATACTATCATCAGTGTGGAGCCAATCATAGTTAAATATCATCAGTGCGTAGCCAATCACGGTTAAAAATCATCAGTGTGAAGCCAATCACAGTGTACTATCACCAGTGTGTAGCCAACCACAGTGTACTATCATCAGTGCGTAGCCAATCACAGTACACTATCATCAGTATGTAGCCAATCACAGTATACTACCATCAGTGTGTAGCCAATCATAGTGTACTATCATCAGTATGTAGCCAATCACATTATGCTATCATCAGTGTGTAGCCAATTAGAGTACTATCATCAGTGTGTAGACAATCACGGTTAAATATCATCAGAGTGTAGCCAATCACAGCATACTATCATTATCAGTGTGCAGCCAATCACATCATGAAACACAGTTCTCTTCATGCATACATCATGATGATCAGCCAATCACAACAGTATCAGTGTGTAGCCAATCCCCCTGTACTATCACCAGTGTGTAGCCAACCACAGTGTACTATCATCAGTATGTAGCCAATCACAGTATACCATCATCAGTGTGTAGCCAATAACAGAATACTATCAACAGTGTGTAGCCAATCACAGTATTCTATCATTATCAGTGTGTAGCCAATCATAGTGTACTATCATCAGTATGTAGCCAATCACAGTATACCATCATCAGTGTGTAGCCAATCTCAGTATACTATCATCAGTGTGTCGCCAATCACGGTTAAATATCATCAGTGTGTAGCCAATCACAGTGTACTATCACCAGTGTGTAGCCAATCACAGTATACTATCATCAGTGTGTAGCCAATCACAGTGTACTATCATCAGTGTGTAGCCAATCAGTGTAGTTAATCATCAGTGTGTAGCCAATCACAGTATGCTATCATCAGTATGTAGCCAATCACAGTGTACTACCATCAGTGTGTAGCCAATCAGTGTAGTTAATCATCAGTGTGTAGCCAATCACAGTATGCTATCATCAGTATGTAGCCAATCACAGTGGACTATCATCAGTGTGTAGCCAATCAGTGTAGTTAATCATCAGTGTGTAGCCAATCACAGTATGCTATCATCAGTATGTAGCCAATCACAGTGTACTATCATCAGTGAGTAGCCAATCACAGTGTACTATCATCAGTGCGTAGCCAATCTCAGTATACTATCATCAGTATGTAGCCAATCACAGTGTACTATCATCAGTGGGTAGCCAATCACAGTATACTATCATCAGTGTGTAGCCAATCACGGTTAAATATCATCAGTGTGTAGCCAATCACAGTATTCTATCATCAGTGAGTAGCCAATCACAGTGGACTATCATCAGTGTGTAGCCAATCACAGTATTCTATCATCAGTGAGTAGCCAATCACAGTGGACTATCATCAGTGTGTAGCCAATCACAGTGTACTATCATCAGTGTTTAGCCAATCAGTGTAGTTAATCATTAGTATGTAGCCAATCACAGTATTCTATCATTATCAGTGTGTAGCCAATCACAGTGTACTATCATCAGTGTGTAGCCAATCACAGTGAACTATCATCAGTGTGTAGCCAATCACAGTGTTCCATCATCAGTGTGTAGCCAATCACAGTATGAAACACAGTTCTATTCAAGCATACATCATGATGATCAGCCAATCACAACAGTCTTAAAAGTGATCAACCAATCACTCCACTGTTCAGAGATATCTTAGCCAAACACATGCTTTTGTCAGTAATAGCCAATCACAGGAAAGATCAGTAATTAGCCAATCAGAACAATCTTAGTGAAAAGCCAATTGCAGATAATTAGTAATCAGCTAATCACGTCACAATTGATTTTGTCTTTTATAGCAGCTAATCACATCACAGATTTATCCATAAAAGCCAATCACAGCTAAGCTGCATGTGTGAAAAGTGCCAATCAGAGTAACTTGAAAGTACAAGCTTTAAGCCTACAACAGAAGTACATATTTTACCTGTTGTGTGTCGGTCCCTTTCTCCTGTTCTATCAAAGCAAGGTCATTTGGGTAATCAACAGTCACTTCAGATGAGATCTTCACCTCTTTCAGCACATCTTCAACACTTGCCTGCAACATAAATACAAAGCAGGTGCTGAATAAGACCATCATTACAACTATTTTTTTTTATAGTTTTACCATTAAATGATTGTTTTATGCTTCACTGTGTACACGCTACCATGTTTAATAGTGCAACAGGACAAAATATTTAATGTTTAATAGTGCAACATGACAAAATATTTAGTGTTTAATAGTGCAACAGGACAAAATATTTAATGTTTAATAGTGCAACATGACAAAATATTTAATGTTTAATAGTGCAACAGGACAAAATATTTAATGTTTAATAGTGCAACATGACAAAACATTTAGTGTTTAATAGTGCAACATGACAAAATATTTAATGTTTAATAGTGCAACATGACAAAATATTTAATGTTTAATAGCACATTATGACAAAATATTAAGTGTTTGATAGTGCAACATGACGACATATTTAATGTTTAATAGTGCAACATGACAAAACATTTAGTGTTTAATAGCGCAACATGACAAAATATTTAATGTTTAATAGTGCAAGAGGACAAAATATTTAATGTTTAATAGTGCAACAGGACAAAGTATTTAATGTTTAATAGTGCAACATGACAAAATATTTAGTAATTAATAGTGCAACATGACAACATATTTAGTGTTTGATAGTGCAACAGGACAAAATATTTAGTGTTTGAAAGTGCAACATGACAACATATTTAATGTTTAATAGTGCAATAGGACAACATATTTAATGTTTAATAGTGCAACAGGACAACATATTTAATGTTAAAATGTGCAACATGACAAAATATTTAGTGTTTGATAGTGCAGTGTTTGATAGTGCAACAGGACAAAATATTTAATGTTTAATAGTGCAACATGACAAAACATTTAGTGTTTAATAGCGCAACATGACAAAATATTTAATGTTTAATAGTGCAACAGGGCAAAATATTTAATGTTTGATAGTGCAACATGACAAAATATTTAATGTTTAATGGTGCAACAGGACAAAATATTTAATGTTTAATAGTGAAACATGACAATATATTTAGTGTTTAATAGTGCAACATGACAAAATATTTAATGTTTAATAGTGCAAGAGGACAAAATATTTAATGTTTAATAGTGCAACATGACAAGATATTTAGTGTTTAATAGTGCAACAGGACAAAATATTCAATGTTTAATAGTGCAACAGGACAAAATATTTAGTGTTTAATAGTGCGACAGGACAAAATATTTAGTGTTTAATAGTGCAACCGGACAAAATATTTAATGTTTAATAGTGCAACATGACAAAATATTTAGTGTTTAATTGTGCAACAGGACAAAATATCTAATGTTTAATAGTGCAACATGACAAAATATTTAGTAATTAATAGTGCAACATGACAACATATTTAGTGTTTAATAGTGCAACATGACAAAATATTTAGTGTTTAATAGTGCAACAGGACAAAATATCTAATGTTTAATAGTGCAACATGACAAAATATTTAGTGTTTAATAGTCCAACAGGACAAAATATTTAATGTTTAATAGTGCACCATGACAAAATATTTAATGTTTAATAGTGCAACATGACAAAACATTTAGTGTTTAATAGTGCAACATGACAAAATATTTAGTGTTTAATTGTGCAACAGGACAAAATATCTAATGTTTAATAGTGCAACATGACAAAATATTTAGTGTTTAATTGTGCAACAGGACAAAATATCTAATGTTTAATAGTGCAACATGACAAAATGTTTAGTGTTTAATAGTGCAACAGGACAAAATATTCAATGTTTAATAGTGCAACAGGACAAAATATTTAGTGTTCGATAGTGCAACATGACAACATATTCCCCCTTTAATAGTGCAACAGGACAACATATTTAATGTTTAATAGCACAATATGACAAAATATTTAGTGTTTAATAGTGCAACATGACAAAATATTTAGTGTTTAATAGTGCAACAGGACAAAATATCTAATGTTTAATAGTGCAACATGACAAAATATTTAATGTTTAATAGTGCAACAGGGCAAAATATTTAATGTTTGATAGTGCAACATGACAAAATATTTAATGTTTAATGGTGCAACAGGACAAAATATTTAATGTTTAATAGCACAATATGACAAAATATTTAATGTTTAATAGTGCAACATGACAAGATATTTAGTGTTTAATAGTGCAACAGGACAAAATATCTAATGTTTAATAGTGCAACATGACAAAATGTTTAGTGTTTAATAGTGCAACAGGACAAAATATCTAATGTTTAATAGTGCAACATGACAAAATGTTTAGTGTTTAATAGTGCAACAGGACAAAATATCTAATGTTTAATAGTGCAACATGACAAAATATTTAATATTTAATAGTGCAACAGGACAAAATATTTAATGTTTAATAGTGAAACATGACAATTTATTTAGTGTTTAATAGTGCAACATGACAACATATTTAATGTTTAATAGTGCAACAGGACAGAATATTTAGTGTTTGATAGTGCAACATGACAACACATTTAATGTTTAATAGTGCAACAGGACAAAATATTTAGTGTTCGATAGTGCAACATGACAACATATTTAATGTTTAATAGTGCAATAGGACAACATATTTAATGTTTAATAGTGCAACAGGACAGAATATTTAGTGTTTGATAGTGCAACATGACAACACATTTAATGTTTAATAGTGCAACAGGACAAAATATTTAGTGTTTGAAAGTGCAACATGACAACATATTTAATGTTTAATAGTGCAACATGACAAAACATTTAGTGTTTAATAGCGCAACATGACAAAATATTTAATGTTTAATAGTGCAACAGGAAAAAATATTTAGTGTTTGATAGTGCAACAGGACAACATATTTAATGTTTAATAGTGCAACAGGACAGAATATTTAGTGTTTGATAGTGCAACATGACAACACATTTAATGTTTAATAGTGCAACAGGACAAAATATTTAATGTTTATTAGTGCAACAGGACAAAATATTTAGTGTTTAATAGTGCGACAGGACAAAATATTTAGTGTTTAATAGTGCAACCGGACAAAATATTTAATGTTTAATAGTGCAACATTACAAAATATTTAGTGTTTAATAGTGCAACATGACAACATATTTAATGTTTAACAGTGCAACAGGACAACATATTTAATGTTAAAATGTGCAACATGACAAAATATTTAGTGTTTGATAGTGCAACAGGACAAAATATTTCATGTTTATTAGTGCAACATGACAATATATTTAGTGTTTAATAGTGCAACATGCAAAAATATTTAGTGCTTGATAGTGCAACAGGACAAAATATTTAATGTTTATTAGTGCAACAGGACAAAATATTTAGTGTTTAATAGTGCGACAGGACAAAATATTTAGTGTTTAATAGTGCAACCGGACAAAATATTTAATGTTTAATAGTGCAACATTACAAAATATTTAGTGTTTAATAGTGCAACATGACAAAATATTTAATGTTTAATAGTGCAAGAGGACAAAATATTTAATGTTTAATAGTGCAACAGGACAAAATATTTAATGTTCAATAGTGCAACAGGACAAAATATTTTATGTTTAATAGTGCAACATGACAAAATATTTTAAGTTCTAATTCTTATAAACCATTTCACTCATATAAACTTTTAATTTATGTGGTTCAATGTTACTTCAAAACCCACAAATATCAACAGAATGTGGGTTAGATTTAAATTATATACCCTGGTAGTACATTGTGTATGCATAATTTTTACCTGAACTTTCGCCAACGTGTTTGGATTGAGGGTAAAGTTCATCGTCATGGAGACAGCAAATCCAGCCAGTATTGGAGACACACCACAAGTAAAGGAGTCGCAGGCATCAGTCTGACAGTCCTGAACAAATTCAAACAAAAAATCCTTAAAACTTAAATTTTGCTGGTCATTTAATACACACATTGAATATTTTTCACAATTTTACCCACATTATGCACTTTCGAAAAAATATCAAAATATTCATTGCACTCGTGAAATGTAAAACTTAGTTGTCTAGAAACAACGAGTATTTTGGGGATAACCTTACTGTATTTTGAAATTTGCAGATGGTAAATCGCAGTTACACTGTCGCAAATTATTTTGATTGACCAATCAAATGTCATGTTACATCTGAAATGAATTAGAATCACGATTTATTACCTTGTTCATTGAGTTGACCTCGAAGTTGAAAGAGTCCTGGATATTGAACCTGTGACTGACCACTCCCTCTCTGTCCTGACTGGTCACTGCCATATAGGCCCTTACATTGTCTCTACTCACCCAACACCGGACTGAGGTATTTATAGCACTCGACACATTCACAACCTACAGAAAAACACAATTTTGCTTATTCATTTGCATTTTTAGTTACATTTATATCATAAATATAAATAATGAAAAACAAATTGTATTAACAATGACATTGTTTAATGACACAGTAAATTTATATAATAACATTTTTTCAATAAGTTGGAAAATATGTTTACACAAAATGCTTGATAAGATTTAACATGCTGAAGTTTTTTAAAATATGTTGCAATTTGCTTGATATTTTGTTTCCTTTTAATACCTTAAATTATAATCTTTTAAACTGTTAAACAAAAGTGAAAAAAATGCATGAAATTTTTTCATAATAAGTATAACCTGAGTATTATTGCTTTTGAAAAAAAAAGGTTTGAAAATAATTTTCTTTATTCAAGGTGATTTTGAATGAAGATTTTAAAGTGTCACATTGACCTAAACTTTGGTATATGAGTGACCTAGACTTAAACAGCCAAGCTTTGTGCTAATCAAGAGTTATTTTTACAAATAGTAAAATAATGGATGTCTTCGAGAGGATGTAGTTCAGCAACAGCAATAAATATTTTTGAAAAATACTTGACAAATGATTTATAATTACAGAGCTAACATACCATGTCAACTCTTTCACCCCTGAAATTCCATAATGAACTATTCCAACCTTTGAATTGGAAGAGTTCAAATGTGTCTTCAGGGGTGAATGAGTTAAATATGTGATGTCCATTACTGAACATTGATATACATATGTGTGTACATGAATGTATTTTTAAAAAAAAATTGGAGTCCATTTTATAAATTTAGTCTGGGTCATACATTTCCTGTATTTGAAAATAAAGTAAACTAAACCATACAGCTAATGTAACTGCATGTGAATTAAATCAATGTAAACCATATCTACAATTGAAGTTTCTTGAGGATTCTAACGATGTCTAAAGCACAACAAAAAAGCTCAATGAAATACACAAAAACTTCACAACAAATGTTAGACAGATTGATAAATTAAACTACTGAAGCAGAAAACTACAACATTTAATGTTAAAGTGGTGGAATCCATTCCATAACAACTAGATTACTACTCTGTTAGCATGGAAGCATGCAGAAAACACTACGTCTGTAAATTCAAATATCAAATTACTAAAGTTAATATTTTACTTGTGACAATATGTCAAACAAAAACAGAAAACCAAATTTTTCAAAATGATAACCGAATTGTGGACCATTGGATAAATAAGGATAAATCCCGGAAACGTGGCCATGTAGGTGTGCTGTATTTAAGGAATAACTTTCTATTTTGGTCAGGTAATGACATCATGATTGCTCCAGCTAGGCATGTGTAAGTTCAAAATTTACTCTTGCTCAACAAGAGTTGACACCTCAGTACATTTCTGTGACTGTTTGATCCCTATAGTGGAGGCATTGAAAAAGAATCTGAGGTCCAGGGTTTGATCTAGAATGGAGGAATTGAAAAAGAATCTGAGGTCCTGGGGTTGATCCAGAGTGGAGGCATTGAAAAGAATCTGAGGTCCTGGGTTTGATCTAGAATGGAGGAATTGAAAAAGAATCTGAGGTACTGGGTTTGATCCAGAGTGGAGGCATTGGAAAAGAATCTGAGGTCCTGGGGTTGATCCAGAGTGGAGGCATTGAAAAAGGATCTGAGGTCCTGGGTTTGATCCAGAGTGGAGGCATTGAAAAAGAATCTGAGGTCCTGGGTTTGATCCAGAGTGGAGGCATTGAAAAAGAATCTGAGGTCCTGGGTTTGATCCAGAGTGGAGGCATTGGAAAAGAATCTGAGGTCCTGGGTTTGATCCAGAGTAGAGGAATTGGAAAAGAATCTGAGGTCCTGGGTTTGATCCAGAGTAGAGACATTGAAAAAGAATCTGAGGTCCTGGGTTTGATCCAGAAAGGAGGAATTGAAAAAGAATCTGAGGTCCTGGGTTTGATCCAGAGTAGAGGAATTGGAAAAGAATCTGAGGTCCTGGGTTTGATCCAGAGTGGAGGCATTGAAAAAGAATCTGAGGTCCTGGGTTTGATTCAGAGTGGAGGCATTGAAAAAGAATCTGAGGTCCTGGGTTTGATCCAGAAAGGAGGAGTTGGAAAAGAACCTGAGGTCCTGGGTTTGATCCAGATTGGAGGCATTGAAAAAAGAATCTGTAAAATTGGTGGCCATATGGGGATCTGAGAAATATTGACAGAAATACTGAGCCTTGCAACAACTTTTTTCCTGAAAGGAGAGTAGTGTCAGTCTGGTAACATACTAGCTGGTTCCTACCAACTCAGCTAGGGAGAATTTCTCTATGGCTAATTAGTTAAACAGCACCAGAGATGTAAACTAAAGGTCCATATATATATGTTGGCCTTACGATTTAATTTCAACATAGTGCGGTAAAAGTGTACATATCTTAATTTAACAACTCTAAATAATCATTAGTATGAAATAACTGCTCCTTTTAAATAATTATTGCTGGGGTGGAGACAGAATGTCTACCAAGGGTGCTGTGGCAGACATACAGAAATAATCATTAAAGAAGGCTGACATGGTCTGGCATAAAAGAAAACAGAGTGAAGTGCACAACAAGTCCAGTGCACAATTTGTTTAAGAAGAGCTGATGAAGGACATTCTCGCGTGATCCGTCCCATCAAAATATACTGAAAAGGAGACAGTCAGTAACATCTCAAACTACATAAATATGTTACAGGTAACACTCACACTCTCTTAAAATAAGAACTTCAATCTCCAAGTTTCAAAATTATTAAAACAATACAACATCAAATACACAAAAATGAAAGGAAATTGCATGGCAATGTGCATAGGTGGTGTTCTAAACATCTTCTGCGCACCAATTACTGGTGCACTGATAACCCATATATAGTATCATATTCAACGGAAGTATCAACTCTAGTAGGAACGAGATAATTTGAGCATCTTGATTAAATGACTTGATTGATTTTGTATAACTCCTTATAAACCAACTTCATGTATTACAATTTGTAGTCTTATATTCCAGTATTTATAGCTCCAGCATTTTGTAGTTTGGTTTGTGTGTGTTTTACGTCCTATTAACACCCATGGTCATTTAAGGACATGCCAGCTTTTGTTGGTGGAGGAAAACCCGAGTACTCAGAAAACTCCCACCATTGATCTGTAGCAAGTATCTGGCGACTGCCTCTCACACCGGTAACCCAGTGGTGGAGACCATGTTGTAGTACAGTATACATTATATAAATTATGTAGAATCTGTATGTTGTTGTATTGTAGTGCATTGAGTTTCCCTATGTTGTACCCCTGCAGGTTATTTATCGTTTGTCTAGTATATTAAACGACATATGGTAATGTGTTGGTCGTTTGTTAAATCATCAACATACTGTACATATAAATCCCCTGCAAGCTGAGGATTAAGAAAAATATATACTTGCTGTGACCAAATGCACGCTGTAAGAGGCAGCTAGTAATGAAAGCCCTGTCTAATAGGGGTTTGCTATTGTTGTCCTGCCTAATAGGGGTTTGCTATTGTTGTCCTGCCTAATAGGGGTTTGCTATTGTTGTCCTGCCTATAGGGGATTGCTATTGTTGTTTCTATTGTGGGACACAAAAGCAACTAAAATAACACTTGGTGCACCCATTGGAACATTTGGGATCTTCAGGTTTTCTTTCTGCTTAGCAATCCTTTTGCAGTTTACCCGAAGCATATAGTTCCGGTATTTTGAAGTACATATAGAAGTAAAAATAGTGTTTGTATGTTTGTTTCCAAAGTACTTATGGTTTGTTTAGAATATTTTATGACAAATTATCTTCCTAACCTCTTTTGCCTCTAGACTTCAGAAAATGTTTAGATTTTTTTTCTAGAACCTTTTTATATTGTGTTATTTTGTTGAATATGACACTACAATATGTACAACAGATAAACAGTGGTTAGACTAAGCAGGGAAGGTCACTACACCATGTAAAGTTACCTTGTCCAGTTGAGTGGTCACCTGTAAGAAATTGTCACGGACAAAAAATTTACCTTACTGGTCACTATATGACAACAGCAAAATATAAAACATAGACCCTTGTTATTATATGCCTATGTATTTCTTGTATACTTGGTTCGACACACCTTAGGACATTTCTGAGGGAAACAATTGAATAATGTAGTTTATAAGTTGTTATTTCTGAGTCAAAGGAGAGGATAACATTTTGCATTTGATTTGAGTTGTGGTACAAATTGGCGACTAAGTGGGAGCAAGTGAGCGAATCTCTATAGGCAGATCCTGATGGCTTCTACTAAAGCAGCAAAATACAAGTACTTAAAGATAGACTTACTCTTAAATTTGAGGTTCAATCAAGTCAAATAACAATTCAGTTTTCGATTCCAATTAAATTATATTTGGATTTCTATTTCTAATTTGATAGCAATAATTCTGAATCTAATTCAATAGCAATAATCCTGTTACTAATTCAATAGCAATAATCCTGTATCTAATTCAATAGCAATAATCCTGAATCTAATTCAATAGCAATAATCCTGTTACTAATTCAATAGCAATAATCCTGTATCTATTCAAAGACTTGTGTCTGTATCTAAGCTTTGCAGATCTAAATTACTACAATTTCACAAATGCTGATAGATGTTTCACTGACCACAATATTTCAAGCTGTTAGCTCTACTGCAATCTTCGCATTGACTTTGAAGATTTTGAAGATACAGATATTGTTTACATTCTCAGTAATATACATTAGCTACAGAGTGACATCACCATTGTATTCCTATTAATCGGAAATGAAATGGTGACTTTGACGACCATAAACAGCACAAATTTGGAGAAAAAAAACAATTCTACTCACGATGAACTGTTGAAGGACGAAAATGTCTTGACTGTCAATTCGGAGGAAAGGAAATTTGGCAACAAATTTGGTTTCTGATGTCAGAGCACTGGGTCCATTGTTTTCGAAGTCAAATTTGTGAGTGACTGGCTTCATACCAGTTTCACCTTTGGTAACATAAATCTCTGGAAACGAATCCCTGGAAAATGATGAATAAACAACAGTTGTAACTATTAAACAATATAGAGAAACAAAACCAAGACCATTTACCTAGACAATGTTTATATCTGTGTGATTCTGGATGCAATATTCCTACAAACATACCCAGATTCGTATATCACAGCCAGTGGAATGTTTGTGTGAAGTTTCAATGACTATATACATTATGTACTTTCTCTCGCACCTCAGACAGAGATATACAACGTCATACCCCATGCTAGATTTTTCTATCTCTTCTTATCTGTCTGGTACCTTTGCGTGACTTAATTCACAGAATTTTTACACAGCGATGTATACATCGGCGTGGTAAAGGATTGAAATTTACAATCTGCATTTAAAACATTCTGTTTTGTCTTTAAATGTATCATTTTGATGTTGTTACATATCTGACGCTGTAGATAAAATACAATCTACACTGTTAAATACGTTCTTTGAAAGGTGCAAGATGGGATACTTGCAGTCTTTAGCAAAATTGAATAGGGTTTAATTTCGACCTAAAAGGTGCACGAAAAAAATCTATTACCTGTAACTGAGCAAGATCTGGTTTTCTCTTACCCTGGACAGATTTATCCTTACTTTTACCGGTGTGAGATTTCCTTGTCTTACCGTAGGGTTGAGACAAACTACACATGCTCTTTGCACGTTCTCCACAATAAACCTGACGTCATTGATGTGAAGAACTACCTTTATGAGGTCACACACATACACAAGTTCGTCTGCTAATCTTGTCGTGTTTACATTTGACATCGAAGAAAATGGGATTGATTTTAAAATGTTTAAAATATGATGCGTGAACTGTCTGATGCATACATATAATATTAATACGCTATTCATGTGTTCCTGTTTACAAACAATATGCTTCGTCTTACACTTGGACAGGAACAACAGGGTAAATTAATAATTCACACCCTCAGGGGGAATATTCTTAAGTTGACAAACACTCGGCAAAGCCTCATGCTTGGCAAATTAAGAATCTTCCCCCCTCGGGTTGAGATCCCCCTATCTCACCCCCAAGGGGATGAAAGATTTTATTAATCTCAGTATCGGGCGAAGATTCTGTAACATCCCAACCTTGGCTTACACCTCGGTTGGGATTATGCTACAGAATCTTACTCCACGCCTGAGATAACCCGATCTCACTCAGTTACACATAATAGATTTTATAAGTCACATTTATCCGACAAGAAAATATATGAAAAATATATTATAAAGGTGAGATGACAGTGTTCTATTCAACAACACTTCACTGGTTGTGCAATTTTAACCTGTTTACAACCTATATTTAACAACCTGAAGAATATGTTTCAAAATGATGCAATCTTCCTTTGTCATCCGATTAATGTCTCTATACTGACTGGGAAAAACATTACCCTAAATCAACTTGCACTGAACCACAATATAGACAAGAGGCCCATGGGCCTTAACGGTCACCTGATATATTTATACAGAGAGTTGATTTTGTTTTTAACATGAACAGAAATATTATTCAAAGTGACAAAAAACAATAAAACCACCTTATTCAATGTCTAGCATACAGATTAGAAAGGATTTGAAACTAGCACATCTGATTCTAAACAAGGAAAATGAAGAAATTTAAGCACACTGACTCCTTTGGGCCCAACCCTACAGCCCTAGGGGGTAGGGCTGGCTCAAACTTTTCAAAGTATCAAACTGTCAACTCAGGGTTATAATTCCAATCAAGTTATTAACATGTAATATTCAAAGTATCATTTGCCATTATAAACCATAATAAATTTTGCCCCCTCCCCCCTCCTTCCCCAGGGGGTAAACGTGAGACCCTAGGGTCATAAACCTTAAGACCCTTCCATCTATGAAGAGTATTTGATTCTACCATATCTGGGTCTTGAGAAGAAGATTTTTGAAATTCCAGTCAATTCAACCCTTTTTGTCCCCTCCCATCAGCCCCCGGGGGTCAGTCAGGGCTCATAGGTACATACTACCAAACTGCTACCTAATACTGATAATGCTAACCCAAATTGAATTACTTCCAATGGAAATTAAACAAATGTTGGTCCAAAATGTGATTTCCCTATATAAACTATAGTAAAGTTTACCCCCTCCCCAGGGGGAAACGCGAAACCCCAGGGTCATGAAATTCATAATTTCGGTAAAGCACCTTAAGACCCTTCCATCTATGAAAGTATTTGATTCTACCATATCTGGGGTTTGAGAAGAAGATTTTTGAAATTTTAGTCAATTCAACCCTTTTTGGCCCCGCCCCTCAGGCCCCTGGGGGCTTAGGACTAAACCGGCAACTCTTTTTGTTGACCTTTGACCATGGAAGGTCCCTGCAAAATTTCACTGAAATTGGTCAGGGGTTTTGGAGAAGAAGATTTTTGAAATTTTAGTCAATTTGACCCTTTTTGGCCCCGCCCCTCAGGCAGGGGCCTTAGGACTAAACCAGCATCTATTTTTGTTGACCTTTGTCCCTGCAAAATTTCATTGAAATTGGTTCAGGAGTTTTGGAGAAGAAGTCGAAAATGTAAATTGTTTACGGACGGACGACGGACAACGACGGACAAAAAGGCGATCGCAATAGGTCACTTGAGACTTTGTCTCAGGTGACCTAAAAATGTGTACGGAAGCCTTTGGCGTTCTGTCTGAAAAAAAAGAAGTAAAATCTGATCATGTTCTTACCCTCGAAACTCCTTATTGACCTTTGACCTAACACTGACGGTTATGTCTTTTCGGTTGTTTGTGGGGTTAGTATCGGAGCTGATTGTCTGTCCATTAACACTGATGACGAAGTTCTTAACTGGAGCTCTTGAGGCATCAAACTTCACGTTGAAATGTTTGCCGTCATTAGATTTCAGAGGATTGACGACCTGGCACACAAGCAATGTCGCTGAATTTTTGTAACATGCAACATCTGATGGCTCCGACTTGACGAAGTCGATGTACTCCGGGACCTCAATTTCTGCAAATGGTGCATATGCCCAGTCCATGCCATTATTTACCATCTGAACATCCAACTCAAACTTGGCCTTTTCTCCGACAATGAGATCTGTATCCGGATTTATAAATTTCGTTTTAGCAATGACATCAACATCTACCTGACAGATATTGTCTTCTCCACATCCTGGTCTCTGTAACGTCAACTGCAATATAGACAAGAATTACGCGTAATTATATGTGTCGCCTGTCCCGCTTTGTCAATTTAATAAGCATTTGACATAGAACATAAGGAAATGGACCTAAACGCAAAATCAAAACAAGTCCAGAAATTTCAGGTTTTTATCCGAAAAAGTGCAGAAATCCATGAAATGTTTTTAGAGTAGTAGGCTCTACTACCCATGATACATGTATGATTGAGGTTTGGTTGGTCTAGCTCTTATACTTTGTCAAAAAGAGCCTAATATGCAAGAGCTAAACGCAAAACCTTAACGTTGAGTTTTTTTCTAAGTCCAGAAATTTGAGGTTTTTAGCAAAAAAATACAGAAATCGTTGAAATGATAGTAAAGAGTGTAATGCATTCAGATATATAAATCTTATGATACACCTATGACCCAAGTTTGGTTGCTCTAGCATTTATACTTTGTCAGAAACAGCCTAATATGTAAGAGCTAAACGCAAAACCTTAACGTTGAGTTTTTTTCTAAGTCCAGAAATTTGAGGTTTTTACCAAAAAAATGCAGAAATCAATGAAATGTTTTTAGTGCAGTAGGCTCCACTGCCCATGCTACATCTATGATCGAGGTTTTGTTGGTGTAGCTTTGTCAGAAACAGAGCTAAACGCAAAACCTTAACATTGTTGACGCCGCCGTCGCAGCTGTCGGAAAAGCGACGCCTATGTGTCTTTCCGACATCCATCGTAGGCGACACAAAAATAAACGTTCAGTCTTACATAAAGTGTCCAACGATGACAACAAAATCAAATGATATCTAGGCATGTGCACATTATTTTACTTGTTCACCCCTGAAATTTCATAATGGACTATACTAACCTTTGAATTAAAAGGCTTCATGTGTATTTAGGGATGAATGAGGTATGTTAACCTCTGGTCAAATAAAAAATGTCATTTATATTTTTTGTTATGTTGGTATGCAGTTTGCAATATTTTAGGATCCCTGTCCCACTGCATAGTTGTTTTTCGTATATACAGTTACCTCCCCTTAACCTTCATTTAGGGGATCCGTTATGATTACGGTAATAATATTGGTTTCAGAATATAATGATTTCACAGGTTACTGAAGAGATACAGATTACTGAAGAGATACAGGTTACTGAAGAGATAGAGGTTACTGAAGAGAAATGGTTTACTGAAGAGAGACGGGTTACTGAAGAGAGACGGGTTACTGAAGAGATACGGGTTACTGTAGAGATACAGGTTACTGAAGAGATAGAGGTTACTGAAGAGAAATGGGTTACTGAAGAGAGACGGGTTACTGAAGAGAGACGGGTTACTGTAGAGATACAGGTTACTGAAGAGGTACGGGTTACTGTAGAGATACAGGTTACTGAAGAGATAGAGGTTACTGAAGAGATACAGGTTACTGTAGAGAGACAGGTTACTGAAGAGATACAGGTAACTGTAGAGATACGGGTTACTGTAGAGATACAGGTTACTGAAGAGGTACGGGTTACTGAAGAGAAATGGGTTACTGAAGGGAGACGGGTTACTGAAGAAATACAGGTTACTGAAGGGGTGCGGGTTACTGAAGAGGTACAGGTTACTGAAGAGTTACAGGTTACTGAAGAGAGACGGGTTACTGTAGAGCTACAGGTTACTGAAGGGGTGCGGGTTACTGAAGAGATACAGGATACTGTAGAGAGACAGCTTACTGAAGAGATACGGGTTATTGAAGAGGTACGGGTTACTTTAGAGATACAGGTTATTGAAGAGGTACGGGTTATTGAAGAGATAGAGGTTACTGAAGAGGTAGGGGTTACTGAAGAGATACAGGTAACTGTAGAGATACGGTTTACTGTAGAGATACAGGTGACTGAAGAGGTACGGGTTACGGTAGAGATACAGGTTACTTAAGAGATACAGGTTACTTAAGAGATACAGGTTACTTAAGAGAAATGGGTTACTGAAGAGAAATGGGTTACTGAAGAGAGGCGGGTTACTGAAGAGATACAGGAAACTGAAGAGATACGGGTTACTGAAGGGAGACGGGTTACTGAAGAGATACAGTTTGCTGAAGAGATACAGGTTCCTGAAGAGATACAGGTTAATGAAGACTATGGACAAGTGTTCTAGTCATCATGATAGAGGTTACTGAAGAGGGACGGGTTTCTGTAGAGATACAGGTTACTGGAGAGGTACGGGTTACTGAAGAAATACAGGTTACTGAAGAGGTACAGGTTACTGAAGACATACAGGTTACTGAAGAGGAACGGGTTACTGTAGAGCTACAGGTTACTGAAGAGGTAGGGGTTACTGAAGAGAGACAGGTAACTGTAGAGATACGAGTTACTGTAGAGATAGAGGTTACTGAAGAGGCACGGGTTACTGAAGAGAAATGGGTTTCTGAAGAGAGACGGTTTACTGAAGAGAGACAGGTAACTGTAGAGATACGGGTTACTGTAGAGATAAAGGTTACTGTAGAGATACAGGTGACTGAAGAGGTACGGGTTATTGAAGAGGTACGGGTTCCTGTAGAGATACAGGGTACTGAAGAGGTACGGGTTACTGCAGAGATACAGGTTACTGAAGAGATACAGGTTACTGAAGACTATGGACAAGTGTTCTAGTCATCATGATCTCATTAGGCAGTATTCTCCTTTCTTGTGCTATATAGATAATGTAAACTGGGAAGTTTTCGCCAAGTCTGGGTAACTTCACCTGAATAATCCAAACTCGCCCAGTGTTAAATGCCCTTCACATTTTATCACTATGCATATTCTGTTGTTACTAATGGTCTCTGTAATGAAAAATTCGTCCACATCCTGACCTGCAAAAAAGGCAAAAACTAAACTGCTGCAAAAATGTCCTGGTATACAGTATTTATGTTTTTGATTATGTTCAAATTCACCCCTGAAATTTCATAATGAACTATTCCAACCTTTGAATTGGAAGAGTTCAAATGTGTCTCCAGGGATGAATAAGTTAAGTTTTTTTTCTTGTCACTGTCCTATAGTTCTCACTTTAAGGATGTTACATCACTCACATTTGACATAGATTTATATTGCAGGTGTTATCAATGAAGCAGAAGTTGCTTACCCTTCAGGAACACCTGGGTTTTATTCTCATTGTATTTTTTAAAGGGTCCCCATGTTAATCTTTTCTTTTTTATGTTTTGCCCTAGTTTCAACAGTTCTGAGTTTCAATTATGGTTTTGTTTAAACCAAGTGTGTTCTCAATATCTTTTTTTATTGAATGAAAAATATCAACTAATATCAACTGCTGCTATTTAATGTTCCATTCATGATGCATCCTTGATACTCCAGGGGTTACACTTACTTATGCTTTCTGCACCCCTGGAATACGTAATAGCAAAATTGAAGGCAAGCGGCTAGCTTTTTCATAGGTCAGAGGTAAAAAAAAAAACAATCCTGATATACCGCTAGGCTGATACCTGTCTTTAGAAGATTATAGAGGGGCAACACCCATTATCAAAGCCAGTCAATTTTACTGTTATGCCATAGAGAGATTATTTTGATGAACATAAAAAGATCAAATTGGTCTTCTAGCCTCATCACACTGAGCATAAATGAGCGCAATAAATGGAGTATAGTCACATGATGTCACAATGTAAATGATTTCACCTGAAACCTAATTCTACTGCATACATAGTGTTATAAAGTCAATTGGATAGTGCAATCTAATTAAAATCAGATCTCTCATAACACTATGTTATGGAGTAACATAGTGTATGAGAGATCTGATTTTAATTAGATTGTTGGATATTGGTAACTTGCTATAGAGTAGTAGCATTTAACCTCTAACTCACCTCCTTGTTGAGTACTATAGAGTAGTAGCATTTAACCTCTAACTCACCTCCTTGTTGAGTGCTATAGAGTAGTAGCATTTAACTTCTAACTCACCTCCTTGTTGAGTGCTATAGAGTAGTAGCATTTAACCTCTAACTCACCTCCTTGTTGAGTGCTATAGAGTAGTAGCATTTAACTTCTAACTCACCTCCTTGTTGAGTGCTATAGAGTAGTAGCATTTAACCTCTAACTCACCTCCTTGTTGAGTGCTATAGAGTAGTAGCATTTAACCTCTAACTCACCTCCTTGTTGAGTGCTATAGAGTAGTAGCATTTAACCTCTAACTCACCTCCTTGTTGAGTGCTATAGAGTAGTAGCATTTAACCTCTAACTCACCTCCTTGTTGAGTGCTATAGAGTAGTAGCATTTAACCTCTAACTCACCTCCTTGTTGAGTGCTATAGAGTAGTAGCATTTAACCTCTAACTCACCTCCTTGTTGAGTGCTATAGAGTAGTAGCATTTAACCTCTAACTCACCTCCTTGTTGAGTGCTATAGAGTAGTAGCATTTAACCTCTAACTCACCTCCTTGTTGAGTGCTATAGAGTAGTAGCATTTAACCTCTAACTCACCTCCTTGTTGAGTGCTATAGAGTAGTAGCATTTAACCTCTAACTCATCTTCTTGTTGAGTGCTATAGAGTAGTAGCATTTAACCTGTAACTTACCTCCTCGTTGAGTGCTATAGAGTAGTAGCATTTAACCTCTAATTCACCTCCTCGTTGAGTGCTATAGAGTAGTAGCATTTAACCTGTAACTCACCTCCTTGTTGAGTGTTATAGAGTAGTAGCATTTAACCTCTAACTCACCTCCTCGTTGAGGGCTATAGAGTAGTAGCATTTAACCTCTAACTCCCCTCCTTGTTGAGTGTTATAGAGTAGCAGCATTTAACCTCTAACTCACCTTCTTGTTGAGTGTTATAGAGTAGTAGCATTTAATCTCTAATTCACCTCCTTGTGTTATAGAGTAGTATCATTTAACCTCTAATTCACCTCCTTGTTGAGTGTTATAGAGTAGTAGCATTTAACCTCTAATTCACCTCCTTGTGTTATAGAGTAGTAGCATTTAACCTCTAATTCACCTCCTTGTTGAGTGTTATAGAGTAGTAGCATTTAACCTCTAACTCACCTCCGTGTTGAGTCCGGTTATGGTTGGGTTAGCCTGTTCTCCATTGAATGTATTCACCATTGGACAAACGTTGTTTAAACAATTGCCGACAGTGTCGTTTCTGATCTTGTAGGTAGTGGAGAATACCAAGGGCACAAAAAGGTCTGTATGAGACTGTAAAAAACAATAGTAATAATTGTAAACAAAAACAAAAAGGTCTGTATGGGACTGTAAAAATCATAATAATCATTATAAACAAAAAGGTCTGTATGGGACTGTAAAATCCATAATAATCATTGTAAACAAAAACAAAAAGGTCTGTATGGGACTGTAAAAACCATAATAATCATTGTAAACAAAAAGGTCTGTATGGGACTGTAAAAACCATAATAATCATTGTAAACAAAAAGGTCTGTATGGGACTGTAAAAACCATAATAATCATTGTAAACAAAAAGGTCTGTATGGGACTGTAAAAACCATAATAATCATTGTAAACAAAAAGGTCTGTATGGGACTGTAAAAACCATAATAATCATTGTAAACAAAAAGGTCTGTATGGGACTGTAAAAACCATAATAATCATTGTAAACAAAAAGGTCTGTATGGGACTGTAAAAACCATAATAATCATTGTAAACAAAAAGGTCTGTATGGGACTGTAAAAACCATAATAATCATTGTAAACAAAAAGGTCTGTATGGGACTGTAAAAACCATAATAATCATTGTAAACAAAAAGGTCTGTATGGGACTGTAAAAACCATAATAATCATTGTAAACAAAAAGGTCTGTATGGGACTGTAAAAACCATAATAATCATTGTAAACAAAAAGGTCTGTATGGGACTGTAAAAACCATAATAATCATTGTAAACAAAAAGGTCTGTATGGGACTGTAAAAACCATAATAATCATTGTAAACAAAAAGGTCTGTATGGGACTGTAAAATCCATAATAATCATTGTAAACAAAAAGGTCTGTATGGGACTGTAAATACCATAATAATCATTGTAAACAAAAAGGTCTGTATGGGACTGTAAAAACAATAGTAATCATTGTAAACAAAAAGGTCTGTATGGGACTGTAAAAATCATAATAATCATTGATTTCATGCTAGTCTATATATATCTACTCACGAAGCTCATAAACATGGAATGGCGAGATCTTTAGTGTTTTATTTGTATCAAAGAATTAATAAGTGACAAACTATGCAGCAGACGATGTTTTGATGTTGGATTAAGCTATCAAAACCAATATCTTACTTCAAGGTATCCAAGTTTTTCGACTTTTCAGGGTTCGAATTATCAGAGTTTTATATACTAAGATAAAGAAGAGGTTTGGCCGGGACCGGACAAATACTTCGAGATAACAGGGTATTCAAGTTAAAAGTGTTCGAGATAACGAGGTTTGTCTGCAATACATTTACTGAAAACAAAATGTTTGATAATAGTGCCAACATAAATATATCATTTTAACCTGATGTACACAAACAGTAAAAACATTTTTTTTTTTTTTAGTGCAAATTCAAACTGAAAGAATAAATAATGACAATCCAAATTATGACACATTAGTATTGTAAAACGGATCATTATAGGAGGTAGGACACTCACCTGTACTAGGACAGTATAGGGAGGTAGGACACTCACCTGTACTAGGACAGTATAGGGAGGTAGGACACTCACCTGTACTAGGACAGTATAGGGAGGTAGGACACTCACCTGTACTAGGACAGTATAGGGAGGTAGGACACTCACCTGTACTAGGACAGTATAGGGAGGTAGGACACTCACCTGTACTAGGACAGTATAGGGAGGTAGGACACTCACCTGTACTAGGACAGTATAGGGAGGTAGGACACTCACCTGTACTAGGACAGTATAGGGAGGTAGGACACTCACCTGTACTAGGACAGTATAGGGAGGTAGGACACTCACCTGTACTAGGACAGTATAGGGAGGTAGGACACTCACCTGTACTAGGACAGTATAGGGAGGTAGGACACTCACCTGTACTAGGACAGTATAGGGAGGTAGGACACTCACCTGTACTAGGACAGTATAGGGAGGTAGGACACTCACCTGTACTAGGACAGTATAGGGAGGTAGGACACTCACCTGTACTAGGACAGTATAGGGAGGTAGGACACTCACCTGTACTAGGACAGTATAGGGAGGTAGGACACTCACCTGTACTAGGACAGTATAGGGAGGTAGGACACTCACCTGTACTAGGACAGTATAGGGAGGTAGGACACTCACCTGTACTAGGACAGTATAGGGAGGTAGGACACTCACCTGTACTAGGACAGTATAGGGAGGTAGGACACTCACCTGTACTAGGACAGTATAGGGAGGTAGGACACTCACCTGTACTAGGACAGTAAAGGGAGGTAGGACACTCACCTGTACTAGGACAGTATAAGGAGATTGGACACTCACCTGTACTAGGACAGTAAAGGGAGGGTGAACACTCACCTGTACTAGGACAATACATGGAGGTAGGACACTCACCTGTACTAGGACAGTATAAGGAGATTGGACACTCACCAGTACTAGGACAGTATAGGGAGGTAGGACACTCACCTGTACTAGGACAATATAGGAAGGTAGGACACTCACATGTACTAGGACAGTATAAGGAGGTTGGACACTCACCTGTACTAGGACAGTAAAGGGAGGGTGAACACTCACCTGTACTAGGACAGTATAAGGAGGTAGGACACTCACCTGTACTAGGACAGTATAGGGAGGTAGGACAATCACCTGTACTAGGACAGTTTAGGGAGGTAGGACACTCACCTGTACTAGGACAGTATAAGGAGGTAGGACACTCACCTGTACTAGGACAGTATAAGGAGGTAGGACACTCACCTGTACTAGGACAGTAAAGGGAGGGGGAACACTCACCTGTACTAGGACAGTATAAGGAGGTTGGACACTCACCTGTACTAGGACAGTATAGGGAGATAGGACACTCACATGTACTAGGACAGTATAGGGAGATAGGACACTCACATGTACTAGGACAGTATAGGGAGGTAGGACATTCACATGTAATAGAACGTGTACCTGTACTAGGACAGTATAGGGAGGTAGGACACTCACCTGTACTAGGACAGTTTAGGGAGGTAGGACACTCACCTATACTAGGAAAGTATAGGGAGGTAGGACACTCACCTGTACTAGGACAGAATAGGGAGGTAGGACACTCACCTGTACTAGGACAGTATAGGGAGGTAGGACACTCACCTGTACTAGGACAGTATAGGGAGGTAGGACACTCACCTGTACTAGGACAGTATAGGGAGGTAGGACACTCACCTGTACTAGGACAGTATAGGGAGGTAGGACACTCACCTGTACTAGGACAGTATAGGGAGGTAGGACACTCACCTGTACTAGGACAGTATAGGGAGGTAGGACACTCACCTGTACTAGGACAGTATAGGGAGGTAGGACACTCACCTGTACTAGGACAGTATAGGGAGGTAGGACACTCACCTGTACTAGGACAGTATAGGGAGGTAGGACACTCACCTGTACTAGGACAGTATAGGGAGGTAGGACACTCACCTGTACTAGGACAGTATAGGGAGGTAGGACACTCACCTGTACTAGGACAGTATAGGGAGGTAGGACACTCACCTGTACTAGGACAGTATAGGGAGGTAGGACACTCACCTGTACTAGGACAGTATAGGGAGGTAGGACACTCACCTGTACTAGGACAGTATAGGGAGGTAGGACACTCACCTGTACTAGGACAGTATAGGGAGGTAGGACACTCACCTGTACTAGGACAGTATAGGGAGGTAGGACACTCACCTGTACTAGGACAGTATAGGGAGGTAGGACACTCACCTGTACTAGGACAGTATAGGGAGGTAGGACACTCACCTGTACTAGGACAGTATAGGGAGGTAGGACACTCACCTGTACTAGGACAGTATAGGGAGGTAGGACACTCACCTGTACTAGGACAGTATAGGGAGGTAGGACACTCACCTGTACTAGGACAGTATAGGGAGGTAGGACACTCACCTGTACTAGGACAGTATAGGGAGGTAGGACACTCACCTGTACTAGGACAGTATAGGGAGGTAGGACACTCACCTGTACTAGGACAGTATAGGGAGGTAGGACACTCACCTGTACTAGGACAGTATAGGGAGGTAGGACACTCACCTGTACTAGGACAGTATAGGGAGGTAGGACACTCACCTGTACTAGGACAGTATAGGGAGGTAGGACACTCACCTGTACTAGGACAGTATAGGGAGGTAGGACACTCACCTGTACTAGGACAGTATAGGGAGGTAGGACACTCACCTGTACTAGGACAGTATAGGGAGGTAGGACACTCACCTGTACTAGGACAGTATAGGGAGGTAGGACACTCACCTGTACTAGGACAGTATAGGGAGGTAGGACACTCACCTGTACTAGGACAGTATAGGGAGGTAGGACACTCACCTGTACTAGGACAGTATAGGGAGGTAGGACACTCACCTGTACTAGGACAGTATAGGGAGGTAGGACACTCACCTGTACTAGGACAGTATAGGGAGGTAGGACACTCACCTGTACTAGGACAGTATAGGGAGGTAGGACACTCACCTGTACTAGGACAGTATAGGGAGGTAGGACACTCACCTGTACTAGGACAGTATAGGGAGGTAGGACACTCACCTGTACTAGGACAGTATAGGGAGGTAGGACACTCACCTGTACTAGGACAGTATAGGGAGGTAGGACACTCACCTGTACTAGGACAGTATAGGGAGGTAGGACACTCACCTGTACTAGGACAGTATAGGGAGGTAGGACACTCACCTGTACTAGGACAGTATAGGGAGGTAGGACACTCACCTGTACTAGGACAGTATAGGGAGGTAGGACACTCACCTGTACTAGGACAGTATAGGGAGGTAGGACACTCACCTGTACTAGGACAGTATAGGGAGGTAGGACACTCACCTGTACTAGGACAGTATAGGGAGGTAGGACACTCACCTGTACTAGGACAGTATAGGGAGGTAGGACACTCACCTGTACTAGGACAGTATAGGGAGGTAGGACACTCACCTGTACTAGGACAGTATAGGGAGGTAGGACACTCACCTGTACTAGGACAGTATAGGGAGGTAGGACACTCACCTGTACTAGGACAGTATAGGGAGGTAGGACACTCACCTGTACTAGGACAGTATAGGGAGGTAGGACACTCACCTGTACTAGGACAGTATAGGGAGGTAGGACACTCACCTGTACTAGGACAGTATAGGGAGGTAGGACACTCACCTGTACTAGGACAGTATAGGGAGGTAGGACACTCACCTGTACTAGGACAGTATAGGGAGGTAGGACACTCACCTGTACTAGGACAGTATAGGGAGGTAGGACACTCACCTGTACTAGGACAGTATAGGGAGGTAGGACACTCACCTGTACTAGGACAGTATAGGGAGGTAGGACACTCACCTGTACTAGGACAGTATAGGGAGGTAGGACACTCACCTGTACTAGGACAGTATAGGGAGGTAGGACACTCACCTGTACTAGGACAGTATAAGGAGGTAGGACACTCACCTGTACTAGGACAGTATAAGGAGGTAGTACACAGGTTTGTCGTAATGCCTTTTGTACAATTTTGCTTCCACTGACGTTGTAATTCCCACTTTCCAGTACCACTCTGCGACGTTTCCCTGTTGAATTTGTATCAATATCTATCATAAACTCCACAACTGAAAAGAAAACAGGAAATACATTTTACATTATGTGACACCTGAAAGTAACAAAAATTTAATAGCTCAATTATTTATACATAGTATTAAATTCAATTACAATCTATATTGATATAGTGTTATAATTTAATATTGGCTAATCCCCCAATGATAGACTTTTTCAAGTTATATCAAATAACCTAAAATAATAAACAGAAGAAGTGATGACCTGTACCGCAATGTTTTGTGTAGTACATTGTATTTGTAATTCTAACTTATGAATGGGTGAAGTTGCTCGGTGATAATTTCTGTCAATGATGTGTTTTGAACATGATTGTTTTCTTTTATTCATCATTAAATTTTCATCTGTTGTGAAAGAAAAAGTATTGTCAGTTGAATAAAATAAGGAATAACCAACCATGATTATTTTTAGGGTTATACAGTATATACTGAAAACAAGTCATTCAGATTGATATTTCTTGCCTATGCCCCGCTTTGGCCATCAATGCACATATCAGAGAAACTAGCTTAAACACAAAAACTTAATGTTGATGGAGATGCTGACAAAGTCAATGGACCATGAAAGGTAAACTGCATCCAGTATTTGATGCATGGGTTGAGATGTACTAGCTAAGATGCATCTATGGTCCAAGTTTGGTTGTTCTAGCATTTATACTTTCAGTGAAACTAACTTAAACGCAAAATCTTGTCGCCGGAAAAGCAGCACTTTAGTCTTGCTTCCAGTTCGTGGTGGCCAGAAAATAACCATGCACTTTGAAGCATAAACGACTTTGCAAATTTACGCAAAGTGCACACAGTTGTTTGGTATACACAGTATGTTCTCTACTCACCGGCTTCATTAGGGAGATCCTGTCCCTGGTAGGAGAAGCACACTTCAACAGTGAACGTGTCTGTGCCCTGCCTGATAATATCGTTAGTTACAGTATCACCTATCCTCAAAGTAACGTCCATATTGATGGTGGGTTGTGAGTAAATCAGCACCGCCTTATCAGACATAAAAGCTCCAATCAGCGTATCTGAAAATATATAAAAAATTAATACACCTATTATTTATTCATTCTTAATAAAAGTGATTTGTTGAATGGATTAAATCCCCACTTTTTCCCCTTATTTAGTTATCCAGGGAGTTAGTACCCTATCAGCTATGTATTAGTCTAAAAACTAAGACACCCTACAGACTAACTCAGCACAGCATTCCGCCCGGTCACATTATACTGACAACATGTGAACCAGTTGTTGCCATTACCCTGAATGCTGACATGTGATAGGTTCAGCATTAAGGGAAATGGCAACAACTGGTTCACATGTTGTCAGTATAATGTGACCGGGCGGAATGCTGTGCTGAGTTAGTCTGTAGGGTGTCTTAATTTTTTGACTATTGAAATTGGTGCAGCAGATTTATTTAGGTCGCTTTTTTTGTCCTTTAGTAGAGGGCACAAAAGCAAATCCCCAATTCTGCAGGGTATTTTCTCATAAGTCGCCTCTTATCATACATGCAGTGGGTAACAGCAGGTGTATTCTTTTCTCAATCCCCGACCTCCAGGGGTGTAACTCCCTCTGTAATTTGCTATATCCCTCAAGCCCATATTTTAACTGTACCATGTATACTATTCCAATATTCTTTATGGTAAGCACAGAAATATGATATAAACATTCAAGCTCTTTCAAATATTTTCAAGGAAATATTTCCTTCATGTTTCACTTATTATATTTACTTGTCCTCCTCAAGTTTATTATTTAAATGTAACATAGGATAAAAAACACAAGGGAACAAAACTAACAAGAGGCCCATGGGCCTTAACGGTCACCTGATATATTTATACAGAGAGTTGATTTTGTTTTTAACATGAACAGAAATATTATTCAAAGTGACAAAAAACAATAAAACCACCTTACTCAATATCTAGCATACAGATTTCAGACTAAAAAGGATTTGAAACTAGCACCTACAGCCCTTGGGGGTAGGGCTGGCTCAAAATTTTCAAAGTATCAAACTGTCAATTCAAGGTTATAATTCCAATCAAGTTATTAACATGTAATATTCAAAGTATCA